CTGTATTTGTTCTGCATCAGGTACTCTTCTTTGTGTTAGATCTTCGCTAGGAATGTGTATGGTTTTGTTTAATATATTGAATGTGAGGTCTTGTTGTGTTTTGATTTGTACTTGTTCCTCGATGAGTGATTTATGACTGTTAAATTTATGGATGTTCAAGTTTTCCCAAATGTCCATGCGGTTTCCCTTGTTGACTTGTTTTATGAGTTTTATGTTCTCTGGTGGAGAAAAATTATGTTTGTTTTGTATGGCGTGTGTTGCGAGGTTGCGAGGTTTGATTTATAAACTATTGGATTTATGTATGCCTTTTTGTGCTCATTGTACCTTTGGATCAGTTTTTTCTTGGTTTGACCGATATAGACTTTGTTGCAGTCCGAGCATTGTATACTATATATCCCGTTTTGGTCTTTGTCTTCTTCTTTTTCATAGTTGTTTATTTTTTGTCTCCAGAATCATAACCCCTAGTTTGGACTGTATTTTCAATGTTATGTTTTTGCAGTATGCTCAAACTGGTTGAAAATGGGAACATGGATCGTTTGAGAAAACACTGGAATTCAAGAAAGCCAACCTGCATTCAGTCAGCTAAAAAACAAGAAATTCATGTCAGTTTAAGCGAGTTTTCGTGTCCCCCTTTAGCTCTATGCTGTGGAATACTTATTTCTATGATATTCCTAATCATTGAAGTCGCCCCTCAACAGAAAAATCCTCTGCTGAAAGTCTTCAAGAAACCGAAAAAAATGAAAACAAAATCTAAGGTTTATCCGTATATGGAGTGACTACAGTTCTAGACGGTGAATATTTTTAAACATTTGTAGAATGCTGGATGTAGATATGCATTGAAAAACAGTTGAACTAAAAATATTAAATATATTTTGTTCACATTTGCTTCAAGAATAAATCATTCATTCACTAAGGGTTTTTTTGTTTACCTATATACGCCTTACCTTTCAACTGAACAATTGAAACAATTCCTTTTTATGCAAGTTACAGAATGTAATGGGTGCATGTGAATAAGTTCATTATGGACGTACTCTTAATGAAATTGGACGATACTTCATGAAAATCGATGATAATGAACATTGTAAAATTATTCACACAGTTTACGATACGGCAAAAGATGTTCCACTGTACAATTAATTTTTCAATAAGTTGTTATTGGATGTTCCAAATATTTTTCTAGGCGTTTCTTGCAGGCTCTGTATGATCTTGGATCTTTTCTCACGCTCAAATTATGATCGATATCCAGATAATTCAGTTCATTTGGCGTAACTTTGGGCCAACTTTTATTCTCCAGTATGGGATCACGGTTAGGGGTAGGATTCCTGAAAATAATATCCATGGTAATGAAACGAAATGAATTTGCTGATGGTAACTAATCTAGTGTTAGATTATTCGTATTTGTAAAAATAGTGAATATATTCAACATATCTACAGCCTTCATCATAGAAAACACAAAAGTTTTGATCTGAAGTTGCTTCTTCTATCGAGTTGTTTTCAATGCTATTGGGTTATTTAATTAAAAATCCTTCGTCATCTTGAATTTTGATGGAAATGTATATTTTATAAAGAATGGGTAATATCGTTTTTGGGTGAAAGATTCTTCAAGTTTCTAAAAATTACCTAGAATCATCTGATGGAGGGAGCTATGGCTTTGGGAGAAGTCACCTTTTTCATTGTTGATGCCCTTTTATATAATATGCAATTCAAAAAATTCTCAGAGGTACATGATGATGTATATGAACAACCAGTAAGCATAGTTCAAAAATAGGAAAATAATGAGTTTTCAGGTGAAGATATTTTAGGAGGATTGTGACTTTTAGGTTATTTATTTCAACCTTTTTCCGTCTTTTATTAGGAAATTCTGATTAGTTCCGAGGATATTCGAGAAAACCTAAATCCTTGAATCAGTTTTATATTTTTTCTGAATTCATTCAGAAGGTATTACAAAATGAAAAACACTTTCTCATCGCCACTTTTCCAGCTGTACAAGATGGCGTTCATAGATTTTCAATCTGATGTTTGTTCTCCAATTAACCATCACCAATTTTGTTTTCATACAGACTGGAAGAAAGAATTACCTGTTATACTCTATATTTTTGGCGACAACTTCATATTGAATCAATCAGAATTTCACTAATTTCGAACCCTCATTCAGATAAGTTTCGAAATGAGCAACTTTTTTCACAATTTAGCCGACTTTGTGTGTCTTACTCATTTCGATTTTCTCATTCTGGCCCTTCTTGTCACAGTGTTTGATAAGGGTATATTTATATTTCGGAAACTGGAAACACTAATGTCAATAAGTAATAGGTAAAATGAGGCAACACCATAATGAAGTTCGACATTTTTTAGTATGAACGTACTCACAACGTTCTGATGTACAAGTGCTATTTGTTTTGTTTACAGTGAGTTAAAAAAACAATTCGACCAAAAAATGGAACTTTCAAGAGAAGGTTGGATTATTTTTCACAACTTTCGACGTAGATTATCACAACAAGAGTGGGTCGATGAACTCAGTTCTCTGTATGGCGATAAAGTATCATCAAAATCCATAGTATATCGCTGGTATAGTGAATTCAATCGTGGTCGTAGTTCGGTCGCCGACGAATTCCGTGAAGGTCGTCCAAAATCAGTTGCCGTGCCACAAAACATCGATGCAGTGCCTGAACTGATGATGTAAGAACGTCATGTGATATTTCGTGAGATAGATGCATCCTTGCACATCGATACATTTGATTTTACATGAACATTTAGTTGTTGAGAAAAATCTTGTTACATACCCCATAATTTATCAATCGCTAAAAAAAAAGGCTCGCGTCAATATTGTTGAATAACCCTTTGGTTGATTTATCCTTCCAGTTCTTAGAAAATATATGTCCACTATGAAGGTATGTTTCATCAAGAAACACAAATGGTCGCTGTTGGCTACGAAAAAAATTGTTTTTATGTAAATACTTGATCCTCAATGCTCTAATGTCCATTTTCTCTTTTGAAATTTTTCAAACAGATTTCAAACAATTTTTTTTCAATTCTACGAAGAGATGTTTCGGAAGCCACTATTCCTAAAACTTCATTAATTTCGTTTTGAAACTTTATCACCGTAATACGACACGTAAATAATCCGTCTAATATTGGAATATTCATACTCGGGAATATCAGTTACTGGTGTTCTTTTAGGCCACTTCTTCCGTGGGGTGGAAAATTTTACTCCTCCGTTATTCGCAGAAATTAGTTGCTTTCCTTCTTCAACCACTAATTCAATGGTTCTTATTGAAATACCTGATACCAAATGAAGATGGTGTTGAAATAGTTATTTTTCAAAATTCAATTTCACTTGTAGCAAGATACGTTTTATTTTTCACATTTGATAACGTATCCAACTCACAATCAACACTTTGAAAATAATTGATAACTTTAGAAATCATTTCACGTGCCTGACTCTGGATGACTGGTTTTTTGTTATGCGATGACATTTTTTCAGAAACAACACAAATTATTTAGACAATGTCAGCCAACAGCATTGGAGGACTCTGCACAGAAAATTTTTATGTCTTGCAAGAGCTGTAGTGAGGATTACATTGAAAATGAGTTTGTGTGTAAGGGGGCGGGCTCGCCATCACGTTTGGCGGATGCTGTACGAACTCTCCAATATTCATCAAGAAACATTAGTAGCTATATTCAAACAAACCATAGAAGTATGTTTTATTCGAAGAAGGATCCATCTTAAATTCAACTAATAATATTGGAGATTGGGCGGGATGGTAGACACTGTTTTCGACCAAATAATAATAGATTCAAGTGTAACTGGGGATTCCTCTTCGGACGAGTCAATGGATTCTGAAACTTCATAAGCATAACACAGGTAATTATTTCTTTGCTTTGTAGTTCTCTTTCTATGTAAAAGGAACATAATAATTATTTTGTAAATTATTCAGTTTTTTTGAAGTACTGTATTAGGCATAATAAGAAAATGTAATCAGTTTCACCATTGACAGCAGGTATGGTGGAAATGTATGGAAAACTTCATTGTGAGACTTTCACCTTGAAGTTTTCGAATTCATTTGATGTTCAGTATTGAACGAACCTGAAAAGATTATCATGTGTTGAGTTTTGTGAACTTTCATTTGAAAATCTCACAATTGCAAAATCTCCCGATATTATTGTACCGTCGAATTTTCCCGAACTATTCGAATGACAGTTTTCTCTCCACTGTATAGATGTTCCATAAGTATACCAAACATAACTAAAATATAACTGAAGAAAGCAGCACTTACATTTTCAAAATAGGGAAAAGTAGGATCCTCCACTTTCACTTTTAGCCAATACGCAAAAATCACCACGCTAATAACACAATAAACATGAAATATTTTACTCATGGCTTACATTCGAAGCACACTTTGAAAACATGCATTCACTTCATTAGCACTAACAATAAAACTCATCTACATACGGAAGCGCAGAAGGCCACATATTTTTATTATTTGTTTCTTGAATATTACGACTTTGAATCTCGAAATTTCGACTTTTATCTCGAAATTCCGACTTTTATCTCGAAATTTCGACTTTAATCTCAAAATTTCGAAATTACGACTTTAAACTGAAAATTTCGACTTTAATCTCGAACGGAAATATCCGTGTCGACAATTGAACGCATTGTACGTGAAAAAAAGGTGACTGTGATTGTGCAAGCTCAAAAAGTACATTGTCGTGGTAGAAAAAAAACTAAATTGGCCGAGTACCAGAAAAATTTTGTACGCTATACCATTCATTCTTTCTTTTTTGAGAATAAAGCGCCAACCCTCGAATAATAATAATTATTTTGTAAATTATTCAGTTTTTTTGAAGTACTGTATTAGGCATAATAAGAAAATTTAATCAGTTTCACCATTGACAGCAGGTATGGTGGAAATGTATGGAAACTTCATGAGTCACTTTGTACAAAACACTTCGGTTAGTGAATGAAAATTCAACGAAGTAACACCTCCCTACAATCCAATGTATAATGAACCATCCACAAGTGAAGCAGCAAGAGGAAATAGAAAAGGAACAAAAGCGCGCTAAATCTATAATTCTTCCATCATTTTGGAAACACGTACTTGAACTGTGGTTTAATACAGCTGAAACTATTTTTAGTATTAACGCAATTGACTCAAGTGGAATGAAGTTTGCAAAAGTGATTTCAGTTTTGAATTGTTCAATAATCAAAGAAAATTCAAACCTTTTCAAAATCTACCAGAGCTCAAATTCATATAACAAACTGAAATCTCAGTTGATTCAATGCTATCAAGTTTCTGATGAAGCAAAAATCACCAGGCTCTTTGGTGAATGTGAGCTAGGCGATAAAAAACCAAGCCAGCTTTTTAGGGAGATGTTGGAGTTGTCATCCGGGCAGATGTCCAAAAAATTTGTCCTCATTTCTAGGTTGAAGAAATTACCATCAACCATCAACTTTTTTGGAGAAGCTTACAGAAGATGAACTCATGGATATGGCTGATGGTATGCTCAAGAGTACGACTTCTGTTGAGCATGTTAATGCAGTAAAATTATCAGCCGAGCAAAAATGAGAGCAACTTGTAGATGAACTGAACGAAACTCTGAAGATGGGATCATGATCCAGATCTAGAAGTCGAAGTGGGAATCCAAGGTGCCGTTGAAGGTCCGACTCTACAGAACGAAAAAAAGTTTGCTACTACCATAGAGAATTCAAAGAGCGAGCTACTAGATGTAGACAACCTTGTCAATTTCAACCCTCTTCCCATTAGGGAAATGGCAAAGCCAGTCGTTGAAGGCGACCAACGATCAAGGCAATAACAATTGTCGACTACTCATCGGCGATCCGTTAACTGAAGTTCAGTATCTTATTGACTGATGTGTCTATTTTGCCAAAGAAGAATAACAATGTTCAAAGTGATGTAAAACCCTTATACGTCGCAAATGACACAAATGACACTACCTATGGTCAGAGGCTTCTTACCATCAGTTTAATTTAGATCTCAGAATAAATTTCAGTTGGCCATTTATCATTGCAGACGTAGATGAAGCAATCAAAGGAGCAGATTTCCTACAACATCATGGTTTAACAGTTGATTTGAAAAACAGAAAGCTAATAGATACAGAAACTTCTATAGAAACTTTCTGCCAAATCGACGGTTCAAATATCCCTAGTGTCAAAACTGTTAATAATTGTGAGCCATACCACAATATCCTAGCAAAATTTCCAAATCTCACTAGATTTTCTGTGAATCCATTGACCAATTCATCTTCAGTGTATCATCAAATTCTGACAAATGGGCCTCCTGTTAATTTCAAAGTGAGA